TTCTACCAACTCCGGAGCTTCGGCTACTTACACTACTTACTCTCTTATCTATTATACTAAAATAATAAAGCTCTCCCTCACTTACTTGCGATAACGAGGCTAATTTAGATATCTTCTTATTAAATAAGAATGAGAATAATAAGGAGCCTAAGTTCATTAATATCGCTGAGATTAATATAGCGGTCTACTATTAGCTGGCCCGTGAAAAAGATAATAAGCTATTTATATTAATAATGAATGAGATCTATAACACGTCGCCTATATCACATACGCTTCCCTCTACCCGAATATCTCGCGAAACTCGTATATCGGTTAATAAACCGTGTCCCTGCGACTTAGGAAAGAAATATAAGAGATGTTGTGGTTCTAACTGTCTTATTTAGATTAATAGCGTCGACGAGATTAGTTCTAAGAAGGTAAAACGTAAGCTATCTGCGGAGTATTATGACTATCTCGATGTTTTCGATAGAACTAAAGCGGATATACTTCCCTCATATTATTCTTATAATTACAAGCTCGAATTTAACGATAGCTTCGATAAAATGAAACTTCCGAAAAGTAGGATCTATTTAATATTAGGATATAAATTAGAATAGATAAAGAAGTATCTAAATGAACATCTAAAGAAGGGATTCATAACACCAAGCTATATATCTTTCGCCTCACTCGTTCTATTCGCGGAAAAGCCGAATAGAGGGTTACGTTTTTATATAAACTATCGAAAGCTAAACGCTATTACTAAAAGAAACCAATACCTAATCCTACTAATAGATAAGATTTTAACAAGGATTTAGGGATATAAATATCTTACTCGGTTAGATATTATAGCCGCGTTTAATAAACTACGTATGTATCCCGATAGCGAGGATTTTACTACTTTTGTTACCTCCCTTAAAGTATATAAGTATCGAGTCCTCCCCTTCGGTCTGATTAACGGCTTAACTATATATCAATAATATATAAATAACATTCTATTCGAATATCTAAACGACTTCTACTAGGTCTATCTCGATAATATACTTATTTATAGTAAGATAAAAAAGGAATATATCTAACACGTCAGATAAATTCTCTAGAAATTAAGGAACGCCGGCTTTTAGATAAATATTCTTAAGTGCGAATTCCACATCTAGGAAATCAAGTTTCTAAGCTTACTGATGTCTATAGACGGGTTATGAATAAACTCTATTAAGATTTAGGCTGTTATCGAGTAGACTACACCTATCAATCTTAAAGAGATATAGGCCTTTATCGAATTTTACAATTTTTACCGGCGATTTATTAGAGACTTCTCTAAAATAGTTAAACTTATAGTAAAACTCACGGCAAAGAAGATTATATTTAATTGGTTCCCAGCATATTAAGAGGCCTTTCACTTTCTCAAAGTCGCTATTACTGAAGCTTCAGTCCTACGTTATTTCGATAAAATAAAAAAGGTCGTTTTAGAGACTAACTCTTCCGACTACGTTAATAAAGATATTCTTTTCTAATACGACGATAAGGGAGTACTTCACTCGATAGCCTTCTATAGCAAAAATCTAACTCCGATCAAATACAATTATTAGATCTACGATAAGAAACTATTAATAATTATTCGCTATCTAGAACACTAGCGCCCTAAATTAGAATATACGAACGTCTCTATTAAGATCTTCACCGATTATAAAGAACTAATATATTTTGTTAAGGGAAGAAACCTTAGTCGACGCTAGGCCCGATATTTGGATATATTATTAAAATTTAATATAAAGATTATTTACCGATCTGGACCTCAGAACGTTAAGGTCGATATACTCACACGAATAGCTGGGTATAAACTAATCGATTTCGGAAACGAACGATTACGCTAATAGTATTAGATAATTCTTACCTCTAATCGATTAGAATTAAATGACGAAGATATCGATATATATGTAATCGATAACTCTATCTATTATAAAGTAGTAGGGGCCAATAAGAAAGACGAATATTATATGAAAATCCGTGAGGCTATCGTCGAAAATAAGGATAAGTTTCGAGGAATTACTCTTAGTAAATACTTCGTATAAGACGAGGTGCTTTATTATAAGAATCGTTTATGAGTATTCGATGATATATATATCGATATTATTTAAGAGGTATATAATTAATCGTTCTATAGTTATCTCGGGGTAGCACGTACTTATAAACTGCTTAAAAGGGAATATTACTAGCGAGATATAAGGGCTACCGTAACCACCTACGTTAAGAATTACTATATCTATTAAAGAATTAAGGCGCCTCGTAATTGAAAGTATAACTTACTATAGTTTCTATTAATCCCACAGAAACGATAGTAAGATATATCGATCGACTTCGTTATAGGCTTATTTATATCCGACGACTATAACGCTATTTAAGTAGCGATCGATTAACTTATTAAGAAACGTTACTACGTAGCCTATTCTAATATTAATAAAAATACTACCGCTAAGAAGATAGTCAACTTATTACTTAAGAAAGTGTTTCGTCTATATAACCTATTAATCTTAATAATATCGAATCGAGACTTCTAATTTATAGCTATTATATAGAAGTCTTTTTATAAGAGACTAAATATCACAGTTAAGCTATTAATAGTCTTTTACTCTAAAATCGATAGATAGATCGAACGAGCGAATTAGAATATAAAGCGTTATCTTCGAATATATTATAATTATATACAGGACGACTAGGTAAGATAGCTATCTATTACCAAGTTCGTCGATAATAATACTACCTTATCGGCTACTAGTATCCCATCTTTTCTCGCAAATAAGAGATTTTATCCTCGAATAACTTTTAGCCCGAATATTACCGACTACGAGATCATATATAAGCGTCTTAATACTACTTAAGCGGAGAATATCATAAATTATATAAAATAAGTTCTTAAATATATTCGAAGTAATATAGATCGCGCTTAGAAGGCTATAATTATATAAGTTAATAAGTATCGATAAAAGGTTACTTTTTAAATAGGCGATAAGATCTTCCTAAATAGCAAGAATATCATCTTCGATCGCTCTTCCCGCAAACTAAATTATAAGAGACTTAGTCTATTCGATATTATAGGCCTTGTGGAAATCTTATATCGTCTAGAACTTCCGCCAACTATAAGAATTTACGACGTCTTCTATCTTAATCTCTTAAGTCTCGCGATAAATAACCTCTTATTAGAGTAGATAAACTCTTCGCCGAAGTATATTATTATTAACGATCAAATCGAATAGGTTGTTGAAGAAATATTTAGCTTTAAATTAATCTATGGTTGTCTTAAGTATAAAGTTAAGTAGAAAGGCCTCGATAATAACCCTAACTGGTATAATGCGGACGGCGGTGAATTCGAAAATTGCCAGGACCTGGTGGACGAATTCCATAAGCGATATTCCGAAGAGCCTCATCTATGAAGGAATTAGGGCGAGGGGCCTTCAACAGCGGCAGCGTCCCCGGGCCGGAACTACCTCGGACACCCCATTTTCAGTCGAATTGAAACCGTCCGATGTCTTCATGATAGCCTCATTTTTTCCAAAACCGAGAATCGATCCCTCAGACCCATGTCAATCAGGAATCACCTCATGCATGGCCTTCCGCGCAGGCCCCCGTCGCTAATACAACCCTGAAGACCTTCCGGAGCCATACCAGTACACACATGGACCACGTTGTCGCTGTCACGAAACATGATCGATATCAGCTAAATGACATACCACAGAGAACACTGCACCAAAGTCACTTGATATTGGATTAGAGTTTTTAGCGCCTGCGGCTCGGTTCGGTTCGGGAGCCCTCAATTAATCACGTCGCATCATTCCACAGACATCCCATCCGCTCAAATACGAATTCGGAAATCACCATTGTTTACCCCTGCGCCTATGGGCATGGTTTTCGCTATACCACACCGATTTCCTCCCGGCTAGGCCCCCTACATGCGCATACACCCCGGCTAGCGACGTCGCTACAGCGTAAATATAAAAAGCTGCTACCGTCCCCAATACCTCTGACGGAGAAAGGTACGATGCTGGGGTTCCCGGATACGGTTATTTCTTTACTGCTTTTACCATTTTTCAGGCGTCAAGCGTGCATGCATACCCATTTTTCTACCTTTTCACTCACCAATCATGGGATATGATTTAACGAAGGGGGGGGTAGTGTTATGAGCGTACCCTTGACACACCCCTCAGCCCTATAGCTAGCGGGCCTTGGCGGAAGCATCCCCTATCATATCATGCCTCCTTTCCACCTACATAGTTCGGTACCTTAGTTATCTTATTAAATATACCTACATTGATATTGCATCTGTACCGGTCCTGACACGAAGGCCTTATCCAACCAGAACGTGCTACAGCAGCGTTCACTGGGGTAACCACCGAGCTGTCCCGACTTGATGATGGCGGATTCTTCTGTAGACTGCCAGAGATCTCCTTTGACGTCGCGCTTCTCTGGCAACATGCAAAACCATGAAAGACGGCTCTCTTTCGGAGCACGCTTGACAAAAAGCTGCTTGTTAAGTTGGTTTCGCGCGGGCTGACAGGTGAAATGGATCCATGGAGCTGACAAAGCGGCTGTCACTGTATCAAAGAGAGTTCACAGACTGATGGTCGTCGCACGTTACAGAGAAGGGTCTTACAGAAAAGGATACCTACGATCCGATGGTACAGTAGTGATGACACTTGTTCGGAACGAAGATCTATGTCTAGTGATTGCCTGGCATATCAGAGCTGCATTGAAAGTTCAGAAGGACCGATGCCGGACGGCTGGTCTCGTTACGCAAACTATCCAGACAAGCATCGTGAATTCGAAGACTACTTTGCACCGTACAAGATATTCCATGTTACTACACGCACACGCTATCTCTTCAAACGCAGTGTTGGTATTCTATACCAGTTGGAGACCAACGTGCAGAACGAGTCATCGCCAATGCTTTTCACTCGCACATACCGAGCCTGGTTCCAGCATAAAATGCAGGGTCCGGGAAGCCTCGTAACTCTGTGTTCCCATTTGCGATGCGAATGGCGACGCGAGCTTCCGCTCGACACGAGGGAGTCGATACTGTCATTAAGTCACGCCTCTGGGGATCTATCGCAATGTTCGAAGACTGTGCAGGTGAATCGCGAAAGGAGGAGCCAAGTTTGGATGAGTGGCTGTTTGAGGAGCGGCTCGCTGCTAAGGATCTATATGAGTTTAATAATGTGATGTGGATTGAGTGGGAGAACGGCATTGCCTATCAAAAAGCACTCGGGAGAATCGTCCGTGATGTGTGGGAGGATTAG